AATGTAGGTCTATCGTGAAAACGCGTTTCCCATTGGGAAATGCACACACACACGTACGTACCCGACTTCATTTTTCTTCATTTTTTCTAAGACTTCTACACACATTTTACATACACGAACAATTCTCAAGTATTTAAATGTTTTCATGCATGTTCATTGTATTGTACACATAATATTGCTTTTGTCGCTTATAACATTGGGACCTTTTGTCTTGTTAATATTATTGTCTTGTTAATATTATTGTCTCGTTAACATCATTGTTTGTTTGTATATATATATATATATATATATATATATATATATATATATATATATATATTTTTTTTTTTTGTATTTTATTAGCCGAACACACGTGCAAATCCGCCATTTTTGCTGTGGGATAAACCTTCAAGAAGACACGTGTTTCCCAAGACAAGCACCAACGTACATACTCCCGCAACAGGCGCAACGGTTTCTTGGCAGACCAATTGGAGGTAATTCCCATAAAAAGGTCTAGACGGATAGAATTAAAGAATATAGTTTGCTTGAATATTTGCCAGGAAAATAGCGAGAGGCTATCAATGTTTCTTTTGCGGCGAAAACAGTTGTAGGATGGAAAATAATTAATCAACCACAAGGCGGCCTAAACGCTTTTAAAAACTGGATAGATAAGCAACTCCAGTCCAGATATGGCAACAATAGTCCATGTTTGATCTGATTTGACTCTTTTAAAGAAAGAACATTTCAGGAGGAGTCACATACATTTTGGAGAGATAAAAAGAATCGGCCATTTTTCCAGCACCTTTAGCGATTGTTCGTATATACGAGTTCCACAATGTCTGGTGTTAGCTTGAGTCCCAATAGACGTTATAGGGATTACCCCACATATTTTACAGCAGAAAAATCTATGTTTTTTGCCCCTTTTCAGCTATCTCTGTACGTACAAATATGTTTTCTCTTTTTTTGGCGAATAATGAACCCCCAAACTGGTGTCAAAACATGAAAAATATAAAAATAAATTAGAAAAAATACTAGCAATACATTTTCCTAGTAAAAAAAAAAATACCAGCAATACATTTTTGGAAAGAAAAAGTATTACCAAAGCTCACAAAAGAATAAAATTTTGGTATTAAATGACCCATAAGGAGTTGATATGCCGTTAAACAAGCAAACTAAACCAAACCAAACCTACAATGCTTCAAGCCCGCCAATCGCATTCCAAACTGCCAATTTCACATCACAACAAGCTCCATTTTCAAATGGATTCTAGTGTAAAACTTACTCAGTATTTACCTTTTTGGTCTTAGTATAAACTGTGCTTACCTTTCACTTAATTTCTTGCGATTTTTGTCCTCTAAGACTTGTATTCTACATTAAGTTACCCGATTGGTATGTCGTCAATAAAATAACCAATACATTCCAGGTAGCATTAAACCGTCTAACACAAGAACGATAAAAACAGAGTTGTACAGTTTTGTCGCAGTAGTTCGGGGCTTCCTGGGGGATCACAAGGCCTAAAACTATGTGGAATTTGTTAAGACCTTGGTGAAGAACTCTGGCAAAATGGGCTGCAAGTCCCTCAAAGTCCATAGAGGAGCAAGGCGAGCGATTCCACCTGGATATAGTGGAGTTTGGACGCCACTACCAAGGATCGTATGATGAGAGACTATATTTGGGTGATGATTGCTGAAGGGTAACTTGCAATATAAGCGTAAATCGCGAAAAACTATTGACTTCTAAATTTCTTGTGGTCTCTGTTGTGTAATTCTAGAAAAATAAATGCTACTTTTTAATCATATGTCGTTTTGTTCTTAATTTGCGTGAACGAGAATGTTCACATTCGCCAGTTTTCACAATGAGAACATGTAAATTTAAAAAAAATTTCATTATCTTGGCCACAAAATCAAAGTTTGAAGAAAATATTATCCACTAACAGTATGGTCCGGCGTTGCCTGTGGTTGATTCAAAAATCGTGCGACTCATACAGCAATCGCTATCACTTGACTTAAAATATTTTTGCCCTTCCTTGCCTTTAAAGGAGTGCCCTTTGCCGTGCTGATTTTGCTACATGCCTTACTTCTTGCCTATCTCACATTACGAATTTTTTCTAAGCTCTGTACTAAACATTAAATCTGTTACGAAAAAAGAACTAAACAAAATGAACACAAAACGATCAGCTGTATAAAAGGACTCGTAACTGGAAAAACCGAATGAAAAAATGAATGTTAACAACAAATACTTTTTCACATCCAACCCAGTTCTGCGGAATCAGAATCAACGTTGAGTTTAAGCAAGCGAATGAGCCAATTGGAGTAAAGTGCCATGCGGATTTAATTTTTTCCCACTTATGACGAATGCAGCTATCGATTTTTTTTTGTATGCTAGCATGCTAGTTAACATTTGTGTCAGTCAGCTGTTGGCTCTCACGCTGGCCAATAGAATCTTCCTGCTTATTCGTGGCAGCCAGCTATTGGCTCTCAATCTGGCCAGTAGAAAATGGCCGCAAACTACATGAAAACTGCCGTAGAAGCATGAAAAAAATCGATTATTTCCACTATCGATGGGGGTTGGGAAATGCAAAGTCCGTCGTGGCCTTGCCGCTAACTTGGAGCATGTGCAGGTAAATTTTGGTGCAAATCCGTCGAAAATTGCGACCGTGCATTCGTTACACACACACATACACTCATCCTGCCTTTTATAGATAGAGATTTTTCATACTTTCTAGGCGTAAGCAAATAGTAAATAACAGTTGCTACCCATGGTCAAAAATCATGTTACGCAGTGCTATCTTTTCAGATGACTGCAACATTTCTTTTAGAGGGAAAAACAGTTTATTTTAGTTTTAGTTTTGAAGAGGTTAAAATGGCAGTGAGTGACAAGTGTTTAACACTTTTGCTGTCCATTTACGAGAACAAAACTGTATGAATCCAGTTTTATATGTTTGGGTATTCTTAAAATTTTAAAACAGTAAAAACTACCGAGGGAGTATAGTGATTTTCTAAGCCTAGCTTAGATGTGGCACAAGGCCGAAAGTATGGGGCACCCAGTGAGTATCGAACTCACTAATCAGTCGTAATTGATCTAGCAAGACAAGCTTTCTAACCCTTACACCACGTCGAGGTGCCCAAACCGTGGGAGTATATAGTAACAGCGGTACCGGGAGAAAAAAACGTCCTTTTGACAGACTGTTTTTTTTTGCGAGTATGTTTGCCAACATTTGCACAGAAGTGTTCCCAACAATATCAAGAATGAACCAGAAAATAAGTTAAAATTGGAGATTTGATTTATGTGCATTTCGTGGAGCAAAGAAAATAAATTCACATAAGAAATTCGAGAGATTGCTCTGGTGAGACTGCAACTTTATAGAATCCACTCCATCATCATTATGGAAGTTACAACAGGGTGATTCACGACAGTTAAAAACATTCCTTGTCAGTAGCGGTCAGGGATAATTATTCCTTTCAAGTGGCATTAATTGATGCATCAGGAGTGGTTAGGTTGAGTCTATATTTACGCCTACTTTCAAGGTTCAAAGACAAGATTACCAGTCTCCCTCAGACCATTCTAGAAATTGGAAAAATAATTTCCTTTGGGTATACTTCATAGCCAATTCTCAGTAAGAATGCAACAGGTTCAGCCAGATTTATAGAGATTGAATAAGGATGTTTTACATGCAATTCAAGATATGCTTCATGCCAATAACAGACTAGTCTAATGGTTCAGAACTGCATTGGAGAAACCTACCTCTGGAGTGGATTCTATACTTTTCAATGCACCTGCAGCCATTTTTTAAAAATCATTTCACCCTAAGTAAGGTAATAAAGCCACTAAGAGGGAGGTATTAGTAAGTGAGAAAGAACAGGAGAAAAAGAAAACATTTCTAAGGAGAGAAAACAATAAAATCAGCAGAATTAAAAAGATAACGATTGGCATTGCATTTCAGTTTTTGAAGATCAAAGATAACTGGTAAGCAAGAGGCTGGAAGAGAGTTCCACGAGATAGAAATGCGAGAGAAGAAACTGTTAGCATAGAACTTACGGTTCCATTAAGCCTTTTAAACTGTAAAACAATTATACTTAGCTGCCAATCTGTTATTGCGGTTTATTTCTTAAGTACTAAAGAGGACAAACAACCAGAATAATTATCATGAAAATATACATAGAAAAAGCACCGGGAAATCGGTGGCGGGAAAGTGACTGGAGCCGTTATACCAGGTTTGAACTAACAACATTGCAGATTCTTCTTTTTATCTAGAATCTCTAAATACATAACAGAAGCACCAGACCGGATGCGACAGCAATATTCAAATCATGGACGAATGGTAGACTTATAAATGTGTAATGTAGATTCTAGCAAGAAAAAAAAAAGAAGTGTAGCACGACACAGAGAAATAACTTTCTAGACAATTCATTCAATATAATCGTTACACTTCATGTTAGAGGGGAAATGTTAGGCCGAGAAAGCGCAGTGAATAACTCTCCTGGAGGTTAATATTAATGTGCTGGCTGTCTTTTTCGTTGAAGATACCCGTGAAAGAATGGATACCAACCATCCACATGACAATAGACGATAGAAAATCTCTAAAATACTGTTTTTTTAAAAAAAAAATAATCTAATTCTAAGCAAGGTGATAAAGCGACTAAGACTCAACGGATTACTGAGAGTGAAATAAACTGAGAAAACGTTATTGAGTTGAAAGGACAATAAAAGAAGAGTTTTCAAAAAGACGATTGTCGTTGCATTTAAATTTTTGATGGCCATACCTGACAAGAAAGCAAGAAGCCGGAAGAGAGTTCGATAAGCGAGAAGTACGAGAGAAGAAACTATCAGAATAGAACTTACGTTTACGTTTAACAATTTCAACAGTACGTGAGACCAATATGCCCTTCTAGTACAAAGCTTAAATTCCAGAAAGCTCAACATATTGCTGTATGTTGTGGCCTTGTTAGAACCAGAAATAAAGACACAAAGAGTAAACCAACTGTTCGTTTTAACCCGGTAGTCCCACACCACTATAGAACAACATCGAACAAGACTTTCATCAACTCAAGAGAAAGCAAATTCAAGGGTTTCTCCAAGGAGACATATGGAGGATACCAGAACACAGAGATAAACATATTTGCAATCCGGAAGTGCATGAAATTCTTTACATCGGGCTGTTGAAGCATCGGAATAAAGGGAAGAAAGACTGCGAGCCGAAAGAACCAGGACTGCTGCAGACGATCAGAGACAGGAAAGGCTTCGGAAAGAAAGAGCTAGGTCTGCTGCCCGCAGAGCATCTGCAATTCCTGAGCTGAGACAGGAAAGGCTTCGGGTAGCCTTCAGGCTGCTAGAGCTAAGAGGGATGCCAGCAGGGAAGCAAAGGCATGAAAGACTGCAGGCTAATAGAGCCAGGTCTGCTGCTAGCAGGACAGTGGAGACTCCTGAGCACAGAGACGAAAGACGAGAAGGTAATAGAGCTAGGTTTGCTGCTGGCAGGGTAAGAGATACTCCTGAGCACAGAGACAAAAGACGAGAAGTTAATAGAGCTAGGTTTGCTGCTGGCAGGGTAAGAGATACTCCTGAGCACAGAGACGAAAGACGAGAAGGTAATAGAGCTAGGTTTGCTGCTGGCTGGGTAAGAGATACTCCTGAGCACAGAGACGAAAGACGAGAAGTTAATAGAGCTAGGTTTGCTACTGGCTGGGTAAGAGATACTCCTGAGCACAGAGACGAAAGACGAGAAGGTAATAGAGCTAAGTTTGCTGCTGGCTGGGTAAGAGATACTCCTGAGCACAGAGACGAAAGACGAGAAGGTAATAGAGCTAGGTTTGCTGCTGGCTGGGTAAGAGATACTCATGAGCACAGAGACGAAAGACGAGAAGTTAATAGAGCTAGGTTTGCTGCTGGCTGGGTAAGAGATACTCCTGAGCACAGAGACGAAAGACGAGAAGGTAATAGAGCTAGGTTTGCTGCTGGCTGGGTAAGAGATACTCCTGAGCACAGAGACGAAAGACGAGAAGTTAATAGAGCTAAGTTTGCTGCTGGCAGGGTAAGAGATACTCCTGAGCACAGAGACGAAAGACGAGAAGTTAATAGAGCTAGGTTTGCTGCTGGCAGGGTAAGAGAGACTCCTGAGCACAGAGACGAAAGACGAGAAGGTAATAGAGCTAGGTTTGCTGCTGGCAGGGTAAGAGATACTCCTGAGCACAGAGACGAAAGACGAGAAGTTAATAGAGCTAGGTTTGCTGCTGGCTGGGTAAGAGATACTCCTGAGCACAGAGACGAAAGACGAGAAGTTAATAGAGCTAGGTTTGCTGCTGGCAGGGTAAGAGATACTCCTGAGCACAGAGACGAAAGACGAGAAGGTAATAGAGCTAGGTTTGCTGCTGGCAGGTTAGGAGAGACACCCGAGCAAAGAAACGAAAGACTCCAATAGAACCCGGGGGGTTGCTGAAACTCCTGAACAATTGCAAGAAAGGCAGCCGGTTGGCAGAACTAGTGAACGAAGAAGAGCTGCCCTTACCTGGGAGCAGTGGCACCGTGCTGTCTTTAACCATCTGCTGGAGCATGAGTACGCTTCTGAAAAGTAAGTGATATTAGGCTCTATGTCTAAAGTCTGTGTTAAATGTAAAACCAAGAAGTTTGTTCGAATGGATTCCATTATTGGAAGATCCGCAACAGTCTTTGAAGTTTCTTCTTTCAGACATCAATCAAGAGTTAAAACAGTTTTTGGAAACCATTAGGAAGTACAATTGTGCTTTTCAAATGATTTCGTTCGGGGCTAACATAATTTTTAAAGTGCAGGCTCAGCTGTATCATAGGACTGGATCCCCACGCACACTAACAAATAAAGAGCCACAATTTCTTCAGTTGTATTTTGCTGGCAAATTCCAAGAACAAGCGGTCAGTCGTAATTCTGTTTCACCTTGCACCATTCTTGAGCTTACTCAGAGGCTGCAAAAGATGATACATTGTAGAAATAGATATGTCAAAAACTTTAAATGTGGTCTGGAAAGTTCTACTCACAACTTTAATGTGATCATTGATGCAGACAGGCGACATACGGGACAACATTTCGGACGGTATAAAGAACCCTCCTGCAATGAAATAGCATTGGCTATCATAAGAAAAGAGACATTTTTCTAAAAACCTTGTTCGAAACTCTTGAAAGTTGTTTGATTGACACTGTTAGAATTCCATGATTGGAAAATTCACAACAGTTTTTGAACCTTTTACTTTCAAGCACCACTCATGAGTCAAAACATTTTCTTGGAAAAAATAAGGAAATACAATTGTGCTTTTCAAATGATTTCATTCAGGGTTAACATTGTTAGGGAAAGTGGTTAAACACCCCCTTTTAAAGTGCAGGGTCAGCTGTATCATAGGACTGGATCCCCACGCACACTAACAAATAAAGAGCCACAATTTTTCCAGTTGTATTTTGTTGGCAAATTCCAAGAACAAGCGGTCAGTCGTAATTCTGTTTCACCTTGCACCATTCTTGAGCTTACTCAGAGGCTGCAAAAGATGATACATTGTAGAAATAAATATGTCAAAAGCTTTAAATGTAGTCTGGAAAGTTCTCCTACTCACAAATTTAATGTGATCATTGATGCAGATAAGCGACCTACTGGACTCCATCCGGGGAGGTTTAATGAACCATCCTGCATTGAAATAACAGTGATTCTCCATGGTGACCAACATAACAAGAGAGAAAAGCGACGTGACAACACGCTTCAACGAATTAATGACACACATAGATCTTATGACGCCCTTCAATATCCTCTGCTATTTGTTAATAGGGAAGATGGTTACCATTTCGGTATTAAACATCGTAATCCAAGCAACCCAGAAGATATGTTAAACAAGGAGGTATCGTGAAAGGAATTCTTTTAGTAGCCATATAAACTGCGTATAAATGAAAGAGATGTCGAGAGTAATGAATATGAGTGAATGGGTCATAAAAATGGGTCATATGGTTTGCATAGAAGTATCGTAGAAGGAACTGTTTTATGATGAGTCGTAACATATTCAATCATATTACTCATTCTTGAGATCTCTTTCCGCAATATACAATATGGCTGCTAAAATGGAGTCTGAGAGTCTGTGTTTGATTAGAAACAATCAAAAGCAACTGCGATCGGAGAATTATATTCATCTGAAAGTTGGTGTAAACAAAGATGTAGCACCTAGCAATCTTGGGCAGCACTGCACTCTACCATCAAGCTTTACAGGAGGACCTCTATACAACCTTGAAAGGATGCAGGATGCCATGATCTACGTAGACCACTATGACAGGCCAGATCTCTTCGTAATCTTTACATGCAACCCAAAGTGGAAGGAAATTGAAGATGAACTATTTCTGTACCTAAAGGCTGAAGATAGACCTAACCCACTTGCCAGAATCTTTTACTGGAAGTTAGAGAAGCTCATAGATTTGATTAAAAAGGGGAAAACACTTGGGTCCGTAAAGTGTGACATGTACACAATTGAGTGACAAAAATGGGGGATATCACATGCTCACAGTCTACTTTGGCTGGCATCAAATAATCACTCTAATGAAATTAACAGGATAATCTCAGCAGTTTCCAAATCCATCGACCGATAAGGAGCTATATGAAATTGTTAAAAGGAACATGGCACATAGACCATGTGGAGGGATGGGGGTTGATCTCAACTCGCCATGTCTGAAGAACAATGTATCTATATCTATAAAAGGCAGGATGTGTGTGTGTGTGTGTGTGTGTGTGTGTGTGTAACGAATGCACGGTCGCAATTTTCGACGGATTTGCACCAAAATGTACATGCACATGCTCCAGGTTAGCGGGAAGGCCAAGACCGACTTTGCATTTCCCAACTCCCATCGATAGTGGAAATAATCGATTTTTTCATGCTTCTATGGCAGTTTTCATGTAGTTTGCGGCCATTTTATACTGGCCAGAATAAGAGCCAATAGCTGGCTACCACGAATAGGCAGGAAGATTATATTGGCCAGCGTGAGAGCCAACAGCTGACTGACACGAATGTTAACTAAAATCGATAGCTGCATTCGTCACAAGTGGGAAAAATTTAAATCTGCATGGCACTTTACTCCAATTGGCTCATTCGCTTGCTTAAACTCAACGTTTATTCTGATTCCGCAGATCTGGGTTGGGTGTGAAAAAGTATTTATTGTTCACATTCTTTTTTTTCATTCGTTTTTTCCAGTTACGAGTTCTTTTTTAAAGCTGATCGTTTTATGTCCATTTTGTTTAGTTTTTTTCGTAACAGATTTAATATTTAGTATAGAGCTTAGAAAAAATTCGCAGTGTGAGATAGGCAAGAAGTAAGGCATGTAGCAACATCAGCACGGCAAAGGGCACTCCTTTAAAGGCAAGGAAGGGCAAAAATATTTTAAGTCAAGTGATATGCGATTGCTGTATGACTCGTACGATTTTTGTATGAAGCACGGTCAACGCCGGGCCATGCTGCTAGTGTTCAAATAAGTTTCCCAAGAGATTTCTTACGGAAACCCAAACAGGTAATGATGGATACCCTTCTTACAGGCGTAGAAGATCAGACGCTGGAGGATTGGACAACATCAGGTTTACAACCGGTGGATAGTAGACTATTGTCCCTTGTTGTCAAAGACATTTAATGTCCACGTTAATATTGTGTTCTGAAACTCGGTGAAATCTATCAAGTGTGCAAGTACGTCAACAAGAGATCAGATGCGGCCATGTTTGGCTTGCAGCAAGAAAATAGTCTAGATGAGGTAACCCAGTATCAAATGGACAGATACATCAGGGGTAATGAGGCATTTTGGCGCATGTTTGACTTCCCATTACATGAATGATACCCAGCTATTGTGCAACTTGTAGTACATTTGGAAAACCGTCAACGTGTCCACTTCACTGAAGCAAATGTTGTTCACGTAGCACACACACCCAACGATACGACACTCACCATTTTATTCCAGCTGTGTCAAAATGATCGTTTTGTACTCCTAAGTGCCATCTTATTATGTCTGGAAAGGCAAAAAAGGAATGGCTGCATAGATTGATAGGTCAAGATGTACCGGGGCACCATGGCATTAAGTTTGATGAGTGCCTAGGTAGAGTGTACATTGTACATCACAGCCAATTTAAATGCTTTTATCTTCGTCTCCGTCCTCATAAAGTTCGAGGTTCAACATCCTTCCAGGATCTTAAATGTAAGTGCATATGTTGATGAAAATGAGTGAAGGTTGCTTTTGTTGTTGACAGTGTCCGCTTCTCCGAAGATATAGTGTTTTTACTGGATGCTCCTGGTGGGGCATTTGTTACTAAGCTGCTTTCGGCCAAAGTCCGGCAACACAAGGACATATATATATATATATATATATATATATATATATATATATATATATAGAGAGAGAGAGAGAGAGAGAGAGAGAGAGACAGGGGGAGAGAGAGGATGCACATTTCATTGAATACGACAGACAAGGTACTTCGATTTAGTTTTTTAATACATTTTCTCATATGATCTAATAATTTTTTCTTGGAAAGGCAAAAAGGAATGGCCGCGTACCGGAGCACCATGGCCTAGTTAGAGTGTACTCTGTACATCCCAGCCAACTTGAATGCTTTTTTCTTTGTCTCCTTCTTCACAAAGTTCGAGGCCCAACATCCTTCCAGGATATTAGAAATATAAACGAACTGGTTTGTGCGACCTCCCAAGACAAGATTTGCTTGAAGATAATGCCAAGTGGGATGTAACAATGGCTGAGGCTATTGTGTCACAATCCCCTGGGAATCTTAGGTCGCTTTTTGCGGTCCTTAATAGGACCGCAAAAAGCGACCTAAGATTCGAAATGACCCTGTTTCTTTGTACTATAAGTATAGTGATAGCTTATTTAAAGAATTTAAGAACCAATCGTAACTCCAATTTCCAAATATGGAAATTGATTTCAGTGATGAAATGTACAACATGGCGTTAATCGTTATAAAGTAAAAACAATGTCATTTCTATGGGAAGGAATATGTTATCGAGATATGGATAGCCCAAAGCTCATCGGGCAGAGTCCGATGTTGTTTGCAGTGTTCGCTTCTCCAAAAGTGGAATGTTCTTCCTAGATACTTCTGAAAGGACTATACTGCTTTTGGCCAAAGTTCGACTACACAAGGACACAGCCTTGGCAGTGACACCAAGTTGCTGCAAGTTTGCTGCCTGGTAGCCGAACTGCACATTCAAATTTTAAGCTTTCATTGGACTTGACATCATCCGATAATCCAATTTGCGGTATCAGCAAAACCTCTGAATAGGCCCAAGGGCTAAAAAGATGCAGGTTCATCGTATGGGATGAATGTACCATGGCACACAGAGCAGCCCTGGAAGAATCATACATGAGAGACATTAGGGATTGTCCGTCGCCTATGGGAGGTATAACACTCCTGCTATCTAGAGACTTTAGGCAAAAATCTACCGGTGATACCAAAAGGAACCAGAGCTGATGAAGTCAGAGCATGTCTCAAATCTTCTCCGTTGTGGCAACATATTCGAACGTTCACTCTGAGCACCACATGAGAGCACAATCATTTGGAGATCAGCT